TGCATGAGCAAATTTGCTCCTTTGCTTTTGGTCTTGGTCCTATCTCATCATAACATCTCTAGTGATGCTGGTAGGCCAAGATAGCATTGTTCATTTCATTTTAAAGCTCCAAAGTCCGCTCAGTGCAGTCAGCTATCACTTAATCTCTATAAACAGATTCTGCATTCGCCTGTCGAATGTTTGGGCAATGGGACAAGATTTTGGTCTTGGAAGCACTCTGGTTAGTAGTCTGAGTAGTATTTTTTAAACTGTCCATGCAGAGTGCTTTTTATAGGTTTGATATTAGCTTGTAAACTGACTACTTGTGAAACAATCTGGATGTACACAACTCCAACTCCAGTCTCGTGTTTCAAGTTTCTAATCAGACTGTAAACACACTTTAAACTTCCGCCGGCATGTTTGTGGATTGTCATGCATTCATTGAATGGCAGTGAAGCATAATGTTACTCCTGACTGTTCTCGTCCAGGCAAACACCCCTTTCCACCCCTTTCTTTTTTTGTCATATGCAGCGCCACACACTTGGTATTCCAACTCATGTTTTCTGCTGAGGTGATGGAGTAAGTTGCTAGTGTTACCGGCAGCTGCAACAACAGTGACTCGACAGACTTTGCAATATATAATATTTTGGTCGTCGGATTTTTTAAAACCGAAACACTTCTAAACAGAACTGTTGTGTCGTGGTGTTTTGCCATGTTAAAGAGCGTTAGTTGTGGGTTATTAATTGTTGTGTTATAAAGTTATAACCATGATTAGGGGTCCCTCTCAATACACTTAAAAAAACTAGCTCCGACCACAGTGCCCTCCGCGGCCAACAATATATTTAGTTGCCTGTTAAAGAGTTACAGCAGTTGTTTCAGCTATGCACCGCTCTGGCGGTGTGTGAAAAATTAATATCCTACTGGAAATCAAAACAACACTATACTCTATAGTATAGCACTTGATGAGGCGCACTGTTAAGGCAATTCAGTTAAAAGTTTTAGCTCAAAGGTAAACCATGTAGCATTGTCAGTTTGTATACAGCAGGGGTGTCAAACTCATTTTCACTCTGGGCCACATCAGCATTACGGTTGCCCTCAAAGGGCCGGTTGTAAATGTAAGAAACCCACATTACTCCATCAAACTATTAAAGAAAATAGCAAAGACAAATATCAAACACAAGTTATTACAATAACTTTGTTCAAAGCTTAAAATCCTTTCAAGGGTGCATTTGGTTCTCACATGAAGTATTTCATGTGTTGTAAAGCCACGTTTAAAATAGTCTTCAATGTACTCACAATACATTTCCATGTCAAATATAGGGTAACCAGCCAAAGAGCTGCTTCTATGACTGTTGTGTTTAAGTATCTCATAATTATGACTTTCTATCTCATAATTTCGACGATGGGGATATTTTTATTATCAAGTCTAACTTAATATATATAAAAAAAATGTAACTTTTTTTTTTTTTTGCTGGCGGATTCACGGGCCACATAAAATGACGTGGCGGGCCTTGAGTTTGACACCCCTGGTATACAGCATTCAAAGTTTGCCCTTTCTCCACGGCTAAACGAGCCAGAGAGAGAGAAAGTGCAGCAGTTGTCGAGCGAGGACTGACGTTAGTGTGAACAAAGCAGCGTATCAGAGAGATACAATATTATTTTCTGATTGTGTCATGCTTACGTTCTAAAGCACAAATAAACACACCCACATGTCTGCACAATCCTGAGGAAATGTGCCGGATTTAGAAGGAATGCAGCCTAAGCACATGCTTCATCTTGTCGCTGTGGCTTGTCTGCTTTGTGTGTGTGTGTGTGGGGGGGGGGGTCATACTGACACACCGATAGCAGAAACAACAGAGGAAAGCACTGATGAAAACACACGCTGATGACAACCCGTTCTTCGCTGCTTTGTGTTATAATACAGTATATACTACTTATTGGCTGGGGGTTACACACCCAAGTGGGGCCCAAAGGCTCTATAAAGCTCTATCTATTCATCTATAAAGCTTTTTTTTTGGAATATTTTATTTTTCCAAGTATTTTAACAGCAAGAGAACATGCAGAGCGTACAGAACACAGTACATTAAACATTACAAAAAATTACATAACAAGAAAGAAAGAGAGAAAAAAAAATACACAAATAGATTAAATAAATTAAGTAAATAAATAAATAATTCCCCCCACCCATACAAAACAAAAAAGGTTTGGTGTATAGAGTGACACAGCACAAAGAGACTGCAATGACACAGTGTATATTGTAACTCAGAGCTCTAAATAGTTACAGTCCTATGGTACTGTTGTGTTGTACCCATGTACTCCAAATGCTGCCAGATTTTCAAAAATAAATGATATCTTTTTCTGAGACTATATGTAATCTTTTCAAAAGGAATACAACTGTTTTCCACAGACCATTTGTCGATGAGAGTGGGGGAATCAGACTTCCACGTCATTGCGATACATTTCCTGGCCACACATAAAGCAATTTCTGCAAGTTTAATTTGGAGCTTCGTTAAAGACCTGTTGAGAGTTGTGAAGTTTCCCAGTAAACATAGCTCAGGATCCAATGGAAAGGTAACCCCTGTGATCTTAGTTATTGTATTACAAAAGTCATACCAAAAGGACCTCACCTTTGTGCAAAGCCAGGTACAGCGTAGGAAGGAGCCGACCTCTATACCACATCTGAAACACATTTCTGACAATTCAGGTTTGGATTTATGTAGCTTCTGTGGGGTGAGGTACAGCTGATAAAGAAAATTATAACGAACAAGTCTGTACCGGGCATTAACCGTTGCTGACAAACTGTTCTGGCACAAATCTGACCAGAGTTCTTCATCAATTGTTATATTCAAGTCTGATTCCCACCTCATCCTGGATGTGTGTAATCCTGGTTTTGGGCCCTCATTCAGCAACATGGAGTACATTTTAGAAATAAATTTGTACACATTTCCCTGGTGAAGCAATTTTTCCACTTAACACAGGTAGAGTCATTCCATAGCCTGTGTCAGCCTCTTTGCAAATTCACTGTGCAAGAGCCAGTGTATCTCATGTGATCAAATACAAAAAGATAAACCAAAGCACCAACATTAACGAAGAAAACAAACCCCTATATTTAATATTTTTTTGTTCTGAACTCACACAATCTTACACACTCACAGAGTAGGTTGCTACTCAACAGTGCACCCTCTTTGCAGTGCACCTTATACATGGAATAGTCTACAAATATACTTAAACTTGGACTTTATGCCACCACTGCAGCTGTTCAAAGGCCCATTTCAGATCTTGATTTAAATTGATTGTAACTTCTAACTTTATCTGGCTTATATTTTATTATATTTTTATACTTTCCTGTATTTTTTAGGGTGTAACGGTTGACAAAATTCTTGATTCGGTTAAATACGACACAGTGGTGGCACATTTCGGTACCTTTTCAATACAGCAAAAAAGCAGAAATGCCAGAAAAATGTCCTTGATTTTAAAATATTTGTATTCATTAAACTAATATCATAAAGTATCTTCTTTTTTAACTTTGAACAACGATGGATTCATTTGTGTACAGGAAGCAGCAACTCCTTTTTTGTCTTCAACACAGGCTGCCGTTTTGCTTCAGTGAAAGAAGGTCACACTCTCTGATCTTTGCTAGGAGGCCAGAGATCTGCAGCACTGCCATTGCTTTCTGAAATGCTAGATTAATGACATGGGCAAAGCATCCTATTTGTGGTCCTAGTCCAGCAGCTCTAATAGCATTTGCTATATTCCTGGTATTGTCAGTAGTCCCAGGAATAGTTACATTAGCTCGCTCCAACTTCCACTGATTCTGTCATCTCTTGGGCCAAATCCTCGCTGATGAGACTCTCAAGGGGGCGTGTCTGAAGAACATGGCTCTTCATCTCCAATTCAGTAGTGAGGTAATGTGTCGTTACAGGCAGGTAGCTTTGTGATGTACGTCCGTCTGTTGTCAGAGGAACAGCGGGTGCTTCGGTCATTTGACTCTCTGTTTTAGCTTTTGTTTTCTTTTGCAAAGCAGGAATTATGGTCTGGCGAAATGGGCTCGTGAAGGAGTAGTGTCACAGGGCTCAATAACATTAAGCATGTTCTTACGGCCTGCGTTTTCCACTCCAGAGTAGGGTCTCATATCCGCGGCTATAAATATACCTTTAACCCTGTTCCAATCAGTAGGGAACAGCTGCCCAAACTCTGCGGGAATAGTTTGTAGCGTTTGTGCTGCTGTTTTCCCGGTAAGTTTAGCGTAGCGTGCCTCCCATAACAAACGTGGTTAATTCAACATGGACAACTGATTACAGGTGTTGCTGACTTTGCTGTCTTTACTAGCAGCTGTTGTTCAGTTAAAGCCTGGATTTTTGCGGAGGAAGCAGCTGTTAATGGAAAGATTAGCGAGCGGCGTGTCCAGTGGCATGAGTGAGAGACGTGTGTTGACCACATTTATTGACCCATAATCTAGTAAACCATTTTGTGTAAGTGTTGATTTTAAAGTAAATTTGATGTGTGTGAGAGATAGAGAGATAGAGCAACACCCGCAGTGCTGTAACTATGTCTGAAAAATATAACTTCTAAAACTTTCCATCGTCGTATTTTTTTAACTAACAACCAATTAACAACCAATCTACTTCCTGTTTACACCAGCACCAACCCGCATGCCCAGTGTACGTGAATAGTGATATTCATTTTCAAGCGTTGTAGTATGGATGTAAATCATTTTGAAAACGATGCTGAAACGCCTGTGTGGACGGAAAACCACTGCATCCTAACTTAGTTAGGATGTAGCCTTAGTCAGAGTGTCCTGTAACAAGATTCTACTCACAATGAGTGTTGTGGGAATCTACTTCCGGTCAGAGTACCCTTTAACATAGACTGAGTTGGACTCTGTGAACATTATGTGTCTCGCATGCTTATCATGGTACTCTTTTTGTCTGGCTTGATTCTGCCCAACCTTGCCAGGTAGTGAAGGATGCACCAGATCCAGCTGGGTCCAAATCCTTTGATTCATGAGCAGATCAGCAGACATGGCTCCGGTTGTGGTCTATGGGGTTGATCGGTACGTAACCGGGAACCTGGTTAGCTTTGGTTACACACTGCCCTCCCCCATCTTTATTCGTCCATCCAACACACGCACTGCACACCCGTTTGAGGATGGGTGGCATGGTGCTGTTGTTACATGCTTTATGCTATTCTTTTACAGGAAGGTGTTGAACACTGCACTCACCAGGCTGGGCCTATTATCACTGACTAGGACTGCTGGGAGTACATGGGGGGCAGAGATACTTCTCAATTTCTCCACTGTCATGGATGAAGTTATAGGCTGCACTCGGTTTGCCTCAATCCACTTTGAGTGAGCATCAATAGTGATGCTGTTTTTGAGGTGGCTTGATTGGACTGACATGCATCTGCGCACCACTAACGCCAATGTTTTCATTCTATGCACCCCTGGATAAGCATTGGATTCTCCTATCATAGTCTATCGTCCTTGTGGCTGTATTATCAACATACTTCCCTATAGGATGCACCCGTCCTTAACACACGCATGGCTGCATTTCTGGGTGTATACACACTGTGGGCCAGGAGTGTGCAGGAGCTCTACAATAGCCACTAATGTACTCTGGACAGAATGCCGTCCTGTTTTACTTGAAGTGGTGTGCCATTCATGTGCTCCATGAGCATTACCACCTTGCCACAAGTTGTCGGATGCCCTTATTCTCTCCCAAGAGGCCCAGTAGTGGTTTCTAGTCGGTCACAATTGTGTATGCGTATGATTGTGGTAGAATTTCATATCAGGCTGGAAATGATAGCCAGTGATTTTTATGTCAAGCATAACATGTAACATAACATGTATCCGATTGGTCTGTCAGTGGCGTCTGGAAACCGTTGGGATAAAACTGCTCTGACACTATAAGGTGTGAAGGATTTCAGTATTAAAAGCATTATTAGTAGGATTTAATAACACCCCTAGTGGTGAGTAGAAGTGTCACAATAATATATATGTTAGTCACAATATGTTTCCATATGGAATGTATTATGTTTACAATATCCTCACTTATAGAGGATATTATATGTTACAGTATATTAACTCATTGAATGTATTAGATCATATAAGTATAGCCACTGTAGGTATTAAAACACTGTAAGTCTTGAGGGTCAGATAGGGATTCTGAGTGAGGTTTCACAGACATGCAGCAGCAAATGGAGGCGACCTGATCGATGGAGGATGGGGCCAGTGGGATGGTCAAAAGCCAAAGCTGACCACGACGGAGAGGTGGAGCCAAGATGTTTTGCGAGGGGCCAAGATGTTTTGCTAAGGGATCGATAATGGGAGGGGACAGAATTCAAATGAAGCCAATCACTAATCGCCACGGAGGATCATTCAGACGTTTTATGACAGTATCGGACACTTTCCGACTCTCAGGGGATACAAAAGACAATGTTTTTGTCACGATCAGGCTTTGCCCTGTGTGTTCTGTGTCTTTGTTTCTTTCTGTAGCTCCTCACTCACCTAATCAGTTCATTCAGTGCACCTGCCAGTCACACTCACCCCATCAGCTCATTACTCTCACCTGCTCACTCTGCCTCCTTCACTATTTAAACCCCTGCCGCCACACACCCACTGCCAGATCATTGTTTGTTTTCCTACCTACCCGCCCGTTTTGCTTGTCCTGTTCCCAGTTTTCCAGTCTGCCTGTTCTGCCTTTTCCTGCCAGATTTCTCCCCTCGTCTTTGGTCTTGTCCCTGGATTCCCTGTTTGTTTTTGGTTCATTAAAACCTTTTCTCCGAACAGCAGCGACCTCCAGTCCCAGCCGCCGCCGTCTCCAAACAGCAGTGACATCCAGTCCCGGCCGCCGCCGCCACCTCCGCGCTGCAACGACCTCCGGCCGCTGCCGTCTCCGCGCTGCAACAACCTCCGGCCGCTGCCGTCTCATTGAGCATTGTCGGAAAAGATTTCACTAGGTCTGGTGGGGCGATGTTGTGGTCTGCTCTTTGTAACTGACAATTCTTCTCTGTATGGCTCCCCTCTCGCTTCATCACCCAGACTGTACAGCATTTGGGCATAGTCTTCCTTTTCCTCATCATCTTCCTGCATAGGGGTTGCACCTCTTATGTTTCATTGGATCTGTCTGGACTGCCTGGTGCTGCTGCATTTCCTGGCCAAGTACCTCCTTCTGTTGATTAGACTGATAGAATGATGAGTTGAAGAAGCGGATGAATCTGCGAAGACTGGGCGGCGATGGGGAGGGGTGCGTAACAGCAGCATGAATGTACTGAAGGTAGAGAGACATTCATATATAAAAGAGACAGCAACAAGATGATAGGCTAACCATGTCATTGTTGCGTTGTGCTGTTTGATAGAAGAGACCAGCTGATCTAAACAGCTGATATCGTGATTGACAGCCCCAAAAAATGACAGCAAGGAAATAATGAGGGAGCATGCGTGACGATTGAATGGCAGATGTATGAGAAATACACTTCGCTCCTCTGCGAATCGCCAACTTAACTTGGTGGAGGAGTTTGAGTGGCTCAGTGATCCTGGGAGCTATGTTGTCTGGGGCATTAGCCCCTGGTAGGGTCTCCCAAGGCAAACAGGTCTCAGGGGAGAGCCAGACTAAGAGCGGTTGAAAACGACCCCAATGAAAAGCAGCCCACGGACTTCAGTCACCTCGCCCGGACCAGGGAAACCGGGGCACCCTCCCGGAGCCAGACCCAGGAGGGGAGCTCGTCGGCGAGCGTCTGGTGGCCGGGCCTTCGCCCATGGGGCCCGGTCGGGCTCAGCCCGAATAAACAGCATGGAGCAGCCACCCTGTGGACCCACCACCCGCAGGGATAAGCATCGGGGTCGGGTGCAATGCAGACCGGGCGGCGGGTCAGGCGGGAGGCCTGGGCGAGCCGATCGCCGGCAGCATAGACTAGCTCTAGGGACGTGGAACGTCACCTCGCTAGCGGGGAAAGAGCCAGAGCTGGTGCAGGAGATGGAGCGGTACCAGCTAGATATAGTTGGACTCACCTCCACACACAGCGCTGGCTCTGGAACCAAGCTCCTGGAGAGGGGTTGGACTTTGTCCTTTTCCGGAGTTGCCCAGGGTGAGAGGCGCCGGGCGGGATTGGGGATACTCACGAGCCCCCGGCTGAGCACCGCTGTGTTGGAGTTCTCCCTGGAGAACGAGAGGGTCGCCTCCATGCACCTACGGGTTGCGGGGAGCAAGGCTCTGACTGTGGTTTGTGCTTATGCACCAAACAGCAGTTCAGAGTATCCGGCCTTCTTGGAGTCGGTGGGAGGGGTCCTGGAAAGGGCGCCGCCTACCGACTCCATAGTTCTCCTGGGGGACTTCAACGCTCACGTGGGCAATGACGGAGAAATCTGGCGGGGGGTGATTGGGAGGAACGGCTTGCCCGATCTGAACCCGAATGGTGTTTTGTTATTGGACTTCTGTGCGTGCCATGGTTTGGCCATAACGAACACCATATTCGAACATAAGGTGGCTCATAAGTGTACCTGGTACCAGAACACCTTAGGCCGGAGATCAATGATCGACTTTGTAATCGTATCATTTGATTTGCGGCCGTATGTCTTGGACACTCGGGTGAAGAGAGGAGCAGAGCTGTCAACTGATCACCACCTGGTGGTGAGTTGGATCAGATGGCAGGGGAACCGGTTGGAAAGACCCAGCAAGCCCAAACGTGTAGTGAGGGTGAACTGGGAATGTCTGGTGGAAGACCCTGTCTGGGAGGTCTTTAACTCCCACCTCCGGAAGAACTTCTTACACATCCCGAGGGAGGTTGGGGACATGGAATCCGAATGGACCATGTTCAAAGCCTCTATTATGGACGCGGCCGCTAGGAGCTGTGGCCGGAAGGTCATCGGTGCCTGTCGTGGCGGCAACCCGAGAACCCGGTGGTGGACATTGGAGGTGAGGGAAGCCGTCAAGCTGAAGAAGGAGACCTTCAAGGCCTGGTTGGCCCACGGGTCTCCCGAAGCAGCTGACAGGTACCAGCAGGCCAGAAGGGCTGCAGCTGCGGTGGTCGTGAATGCTAAAACTCGGGCATGGGAGGAGTTCGGGGAGGCCATGGAGAAGGACTTTCTGTTGGCCTCAAGGAGGTTCTGGCAAACCATCCGATGGCTCAGGAAGGGAAAGCAGGGCTTACCCCAGGCTGTTCTCAGCAGGGGGGGGAACTGCTGACCCGGACAGGGGACATCGTCGGGCGGTGGAAAGAGCACTTTGAGGAACTCCTAAACCCGACCAACATGTCCTCCGCAGAGGAGGCAGCGCCTGAGGACCTAGGGGGAGGCTCACCCATATCCCTGGCAGAGGCCGCTGAGGTAGTCAAAAAGCTCCTCGGTGGCAAGGCGCCGGGGGTGGATGAGATCCGCCCTGAGATGCTGAAAGCGCTGGACATAGTTGGGCTGTCCTGGCTGACACGCCTCTTCAATGTCGCATGGGGGTCGGGATCAGTGCCCATGGACTGGCAGACCGAGGTGGTGGTTCCCATTTTCAAAAAGGGGGACCGGAGAGAATTACCGGGGTATCACACTACTCAGCCTCCCGGGGAAGGCTTATGCCAGGGTGCTGGAAAGGAGGCTCCGACCGTTTGTCGAACCTCAGATTCAAGAGGAGCAATGCGGATTCCGTCCCGGCCGTGGAACAGTGGACCAGCTCTTTACCCTCACAAGACTACTGGAGGGGTTCTGGGAGTTTGCCCAACCAGTCTACATGTGCTTTGTGGACTTGGACAAGGCTTTCGACCGGGTCCCTCGGGGGTTCTTGTGGGGGGTGCTGCGGGAGTATGGGGTGCCGGACCCATTACAATGGGCGATCCGGTCTCTGTACGACTGCAGTAGGAGCTGTGTCCGCATTCTCGGCAATAAGTCAGACACGTTCCCGGTGGGTGTTGGCCTCCGCCAGGGCTGCCCTTTGTCTCCGGTCCTGTTCGTGACTTTCATGGACAGGATATCTAGGCGCAGCCGGGGGGGTGGAGAACGTCAGGTTCGGGGGTCTCGGGATCGCCTCTCTGCTGTTTGCAGATAATGTGGTCCTGTTAGCCTCCTCAGATCGTGACCTCCAGCATTCACTGGGGTGGTTTGCAGCCGAGTGTGAAGCAGCGGGGATGAGAGTTAGCACCTCCGAATCTGAGGCCATGGTGCTCTGCCGGAAACTGGTGGATTGCTCCCTCCAGGTGGGGACGGAGTGCCTACCTCAAGCGAAGGAGTTCAAGTATCTCGGGGTCTTGTTCACGAGTGAGGGTAAGATGGAGCGGGAGACCGACAGACGGATCGGTGCGGCTGCAGCAGTAAAGCAGGCGCTGCACCGGACCGTCTTGGTGAAGAGGGAGCTGAGCCGGAAGGCAAAGCTCTCAATTTACCACTCGGTCTACGTTCCTACCCTCACCTATGGTCACGAACTCTGGGTCGTGACCGAAAGGACAAGGTCGCGGCTACAAGCGGCCGAAATGAGCTTCCTCCGTAGGGTGGCCGGGCTCAGCCTTAGAGATAGGGTAAGGAGCTCGGTCATCAGGAGGGAGCTTGGAGTCGAGCCGCTACTCCTTCACGTCGAAAGGAGTCAGCTGAGGTGGTTCGGGCATCTAATTAGGATGCCTCCTGGACGCCTCCCACTGGAGGTTTTCCAGGCACGTCCAACTGGGATGAGACCCCGGGGAAGACCCAGAACACGCTGGAGGGATTACATCTCCCAGCTGGCCTGGGAACGCCTCGGGATCCCCCAGAATGAGCTGGAACATGTTGCCGGTGAGAGGGAAGTCTGGGTCAGCCTGCTTGGCCTGTTGCCACCGCGACCCGACCCCGGATAAGCGGAGGAAAATGAATGGATGGATGGATGGATGAGAAATAAACTACGGGTTTAGGCATGCAAGAGTATAGTCTTCCTGACTGAAGTTACGCTAGAGCTTCATTTTGTCATGCGCTTCCATATCATTGTTATTGCCACACACCAGTCTGTCTTTCAGAACATCATTAAGTGCAGTCCCAAACCCAGTATTCAATAAGTCTCTTCAGTCCCCTACAAATGATGCGATCAGAATACATTACAGTGCAGTATTAATTTGAGCATGCCATAGGATTTTCATTAACGTGATGCCATTCAATTCAGACTTGGAAATGCTACTATACTACATTATTCAAATGAGAAAATGACATTTAACAAGGAATACCCTGCCTGAAAGTCGCCTAATAATGCAGCTGCATCAGCACCTTGCCATGGCTAACAGAGAATCAACATATTGCAAAAACTTAAGATCTTCATACAAAATTATGATGAAACATGAATTCCCATGTAGGGTGACATAACACTGATAAACTTAAGTAGGATCAAACATGATAAAGAAAAAGGCACAATACAACTTGGCCCCAACCTTTGGGTTGTGTTATCTGACCTTAGGTTTTGGTCCATGGAAAAGGGGAAAGTTCATGATAATGTATTTTGTTTTGCATCAATACAAAAATCCCTTTAGCATTCTTGATACACTCACACACATTCAGCAAGTTACCTTTTTTTGTTGCGTGGCGTTTCACAGGACACTGTATCCTAAGTTTGATTGGACAAGTGAGCTTTGCATTAATTATAGTAATGAGACAGGAATTCATAAATATTAAGCCTAACTCTGGTGCCACATTAATCAAGGACTTCTATACTGATGTGTTTCTGGAGGGTTCAATAGGTATGGTATGAAAATGTATGAAGACCTAGTATAAAAGAAAACTAATATTTGAATTGTGCATTAATACTAAACATAATAGTTTGTCAAACAAATAGAACTGAATATTTCTCAATCTTATTTTTCATAATGTATGTGTGGATAACTGAATGACAGGAACGCTTTAGCTTGGACATGGATATCAGCATCAACAGGACTAATGTGCTTACTGAGATACATCCCTGCTATAAGATAGATGTCTCTTACGTACTAACGAGCAACCCTTCTGCAATATGTGTATTGTTTCATATTTTCCTTAGCTCATTATCTGCTATAACTGTATGTGGAAACCTGCTTGTAATAATCTCCATCACTTACTTCAAACAGCTCCACACTTCTACAAACTACCTCATATTCTCTCTTGCTGTGGCTGACCTACTTGTTGGGCTTTTAGTCTTTCCTCTCACCATGGAATTCTCTATAACCTCATGTTTGTACAATGAAGATTTATTTTGTAAAGTACGGAGCACCTTTGATGTATTACTGTGCACATCTTCTATTCTAAACTTGTGCTGTATTTCCATTGACCGATATTATGCTGTGTGTCAGCCTCTGACATACAGAGCTAAGATAAATAATCATGTTGTTGTGATCATGATCTTGGTGAGCTGGGGGGCTCCTGCTCTAATTGGAATCAGCTTCATACTTTTAGGAATAAACCAAGAAAAATGTGTCGGAACATGTCTAATTGACGCTTTAATGGCAAACATTTTGGGACTTATTTTCTCATTTTACCTCCCAGCGATTGTAATGCTGTTTATCTACCTAAAGATTTTCCTTGTGGCACAGAGACAGGCACGCAGCATCCAGAAGACAAACTGTCAGAGAACAAAGTGTGGGGCCACTGTCAGTAAGATGGAGAGAAAGGCCACCAAAACTTTGGCTATTGTGATGGGGACTTTTTTGCTGTCTTGGCTTCCTTTTTTTCTTACTACCGTTCTTTCTTTCAGTCATGTTTACGTGCCGCTTCCTTTGTTTGAATTACTTAATTGGCTTGCACTGTCAAATTCTATGCTCAATCCCTTTATTTATGCTTTGTTTTACAGCTGGTTTAGATCAGCTTTCAGAATGATAATTTCTGGAAAAATAATTCAGGGTGATTTTACAAACTCAAAACTACTCTAATTAATGGTTAACTGTGCTGAAATACAGTATGTATTGTGTAGAAGTGTCGATGATGAAAATGTATGCAACATACACATGAAACAACATACACAAATATGTATGCACAGTCTATAAACATACTATACTATAGACTGTACTGTACCTAAGATAAAAGTATAAAAACAACTTTATATATAAAATGTGTCGGCCGAAAAGTGGATGTGTGTAGGAGGGAGGTTTTTGTAACTTCGGGTTCCGGGGGACGCCCAGGAAGCTGGGTTCACAATGTTCATTGGTATCTTGTTGGAGGATGATGATCTATGTTTTTTTTTTTTGTTTTTTTTTGTGTCCGGGATTGGTTGTTTGTGTGGTTGGCAGCTATGTTGTGTGCTGTTCTGTTTGTGAGTGGCATGTCGCATGTAACCTGTGTAAACTGAAATTAAAAAGATTGAAAGAAAGAAAAACTACTTTGAATAAATTCTTTGAAATCTACATGAACATTTTATAATAATTATTCAGCTCTTTAATGATAATAAAAGAGAATGTGAACAACAGAATTCCATTGATTAATTACTGGTACAACATGACATACACAACGTTGTGATTTTGAAGACTTTAGTAAAGTTTGGTTTGCAAATTCCTTTCCAAAGAAGTTCCAAAGACCTCGTCAGGCAGGTGTTTCCAAAGCGTGCCTCCGAGAGTAGCCTTGTTGCCATTCGATTGTCTAGCAACTTTGAAGCTAAATTTTAGAGAAAAGAGAAAACATTTAGAGAAAAGTACAGGAAGGCACGATTCCATCAACTGGTTTGGAGCGAATAGACTACATTGAAGTTTTGTTAGAAGTTGACGCTATAGGCATCATATGACTGTAATGCACCAGTAAACAGAGTAGAAAAAGTAGAGGGTGCAAACTGGAGCCATGTTGGTTTTTAAAAAGCTGACTTTTCAGAATTAAACTGATCACCTCTTGGTCAGGTAAAATAAATCTGTATAGCAGTTTTGAAAAGCATGTAACCTGTCTAAGAACTATTGGTTAACGAGAATCGCATTTCAATGACTTGTAAGAGCATGAAACCAGAATCTACTGCTTACATACACCCCTGCTATGAAATACATGTTTCTTTCATAATAACAAGGGCCCCTTCGACACCATGTGCTTTATTATATATTTTTCTTGGCTCCATGTCTGTTGTCACAGTATGTGGAAATATTCTTGTAATGATCTCCATTTACTTTCAACAGTTGAAGATTTTTACAAACTATTTTAAAACAAGTCCCTTGTAATTTATTCCATTTTGAATGAATTTGTATGTTGCAAAAACATTGACATATATGATGCATTCAGAATCAGAACCGTTTATTGCCATGGTATGTTGAACATACAAGGAATTTGACATGACGGGAGGTGCATAACATTTGACAATCAACAACAATCAACACAGTGCAAAGTAGAAACATATAAAAATTTACAGATAGATATAAAATAAAGTAAAATATAAAATAAAGTGCACAAACAAACAGATAACAGGACTGTAAACAACAAACAGATAACAGGACAATAAACAAGTGTAGTGTAAAAGTGTAATTAAATAAGAACCTAGAAGGGATGTGCAGGGGAGTGATCGGTAGGAAATTGTCTTGGGGATGACAGAGTCAGTGGGCGTCCCGGGCTCTGTTAATGAGCCCGACTACGGACGGGACAAAACTGTTCATGTGGCGTGAGGTCTTGGTCCTGATGGACCTCAGCCTCCTGCCAGATGGAAGGGGCATGAACAATTTAGGTCCAGGGTGAGAGGGGTCGGCTACAATCTTTCTTGCTCGCTTCAGGGTCCTTAAAGCGAACAAGTCTTGGAAGGACGGCAAATTGCAGCCAATCACCCTCTCGGCAGAGCGAATGATGTGCTGCAGCATACCAGACCATGATGGAGGAGCAGAGGATGGACTCATTGATGGCTGTGTAGAAGTGCACCATCATTGTCTTTGGCAGGTTGAATTTCTTCAGCTGCCTCAGGAAGTACATCCTCTGCTGAGCCTTCTTGGTGATGGAGCTGATGTTCAGCTCCCACTTGAGGTCCTGGGTTATGATGGAGCCTAGGAAGCGGAAGGACTCCACCGCGTCGACGGGGGAGTCACACAGGGTGATAGGGGCTGGTGGGGCTACACTTAGAATGTTGAGTTCTAAGTTGTTCAGGCCGCACCAGGTCACCAGATGGTCAGTCTCCCACCTGTAGGCGGACTCATCCCCACCCGAGATGAGTCCAATGAGGGTTGTGTCATCCGCGAACTTCAAGAGCTTGACGGACTGATGACTGGAGGTGCAGCTGTTCGTGTACAGGGAGAAGAGCAGAGGGGAAAGAATGCAGCCTTGGGGGGGAACCGGTGCTGATGGTCCTGGAGGCTGAGACGTGTTTTCCCAGCTTCACGCACTGCTTCCTGTCAGACAGTCTGTAATCCACTTGCAGGTGGAGTCGGGCACGTGCAGCTGGGAGAGCTTGTCATGCAGCAAAGACGGGATGATGGTGTTGAAGGCAGAGCTGAAGTCCACAAACAAGATCCTGGCGTAGGTTCCTGGGGAGTCCAGATGCTGGAGGATGAAATGAAGGGCCAAGTTGACTGCGTCCTCTACAGACCTGCTGGCTCTGTAGGTGAACTGCAGGGGGTTCAGGAGCGGGTCGGTGAGGGTTTTAAGGTGGTACAGGACAAGGCGCTCAAAAGACTTCATAACCACAGAGGTCAGGGCGACGGGCCTGTAGTCATTAAGTCCTGTGATCCTTGGTTTTTTGGGGATGGGAATGATGGTAGAGGCCTTGAAGCAGGCTGGTACGTGGCATGTCTACAGTGAGGTGTTGAGGATGTCTGTAAACATCAGAGACAGCTGATCAGCACAATGCTTCAGGGTAGAGGGGGAGACAGATAATGTTTTGGATTAAGTCCTTTATGAAGATGATGTCTAGTTTTAACTCACACAGTCCATGCCCTCAATTGGGCTCCATGGGCAATAATATCCTAAGTGTAGCCAGCCAATCAGGCTTAAAGATGTAGCATTTTCATTAATATGATGCCATTCACTTCATACTTGGAAGTGATACCAGCAAACGTTTATTCAAACAGGAAGGAATACCGCATCTGAGAGTGGCCCAATAAAGAAGCTACATCAAAACCTTTAGGGAGAGAAGACAGTCAACTGATTGCAAACATTGTAGATCCGTCCATCCATCCATCCTAGCAAGTCTTTCCAATTCTTACTGAGGAAAACTATGGCGTTCTCACGCCAGGCAAGATATACAGTATAGTCCCTCCAGTGTGTTCTAGGTCTACCCCAGGGCCTTTTATCAGTTGGTCGTGCCCGGACAACCTTAAAAGGGAGGCGTCCAGACAACATCCTGATCAGATGCCCGAACAACTTCAGTAGCCCCTTTTGACGCAAAGGAACAGCAGCTCTGATCAGAACTCCCTCCGGATGTCTGAGGTCCTTTTTCTATATATAATAATAATATAATAATAAAATGTATTTATTTTTGCTTTTTATATATATATTTTTTTATATATATTTTTGTATTTATTTCGCTTTTCACAGACAAAAAATCACAAAATTAAAAGCATAAAAAACACAATGTGACCATAGGGTCAATAAATCACATATTTTAAGAGCAGGTCTAGGACATGGGTTTTTACTCAAACGCCAGCCTAAAAAGGTGGGTTTTGAGCTGTTTTTTAAAAGTAGTCACGGAATCTGCGAGGCGTAGAGTCGCAGGCAGAGCATTCCACAGCCTCGGCGCCACTGCCTCAAAGGCTCGGTCACTACGGGTCTTAAATCGTGTGCGTGGAACTGACAGAAGACCTAGAGTGTTTGACCTGAGAGTGCGGGCGGGTGAATATTTCTATTTCTATGGCTAAACCCAGCCACCTTGCAAAAGGTAGCTCAGTTCAGCCGCTTCTATTCGCAATTCCAACAAACTTTTTATCACAACCTAAAGATCATGTAAATGGACTGGTAAATTTAGAGCTTTACCTTCCGGCTCAGCTCCCTCTTCCCTAAAATAGAGCGTAACAATGCTCAGAGCACTGCTGACATTGCACCAAACCGCCTGTCCATCCCATGCTCCATATCACCCTTACATGTGAACAACACAATGAGAAACCTGAACTCCCTCACTTTCACAATCGGCTGCAAAGTGCCCCAGTGCCTGCTGAAAGTCACATTCTGAAGGGGCCAACATCACCATATTATCTGCAAATAGCACAGAAGCAATTCTATGGTCCCCAAAACTAGACACTCACCTCCCCCCGGCAGCACCTTAAGATATTGTCCCTGAAAATCACAAACAGGATTGGTGACAACTTATGGCATACAAAGACCAGATGGCTCGTAGCAATGACCCCGGTGCCCAATATTCCCACAGTATCCCCCACAGGACTCCCAGAGGGACATAGTTGTAAGCTTTCTCCAAGTCTACAATACACATGTTGACTGGATGGACAAAGGCAAGGCAAGTTTATTTGTATAGCACATTTCAACAACAAGGAAATTCAAAGTGCTTCACATAAAACCTGTTAAAGAAGCCCAGTCCTGTGGCTGTAAGCTCCTGAGGTGTCTTTCCCTCTGGAGTAACCTGGTTGACGCGCTCGTTGTACGCTAGATTATCTGTGATGTGTGTTGCATTCGATACATCATCACAGAGACGTTTGTTTAATGATATATAGCTCATTTATTATCTTTGTTGTGGAACAACGTACAAAAAATCCCATTCTTTCCACCGACAGTAAATGCACCACATTAGCGTATAGCGGTCAAAACCTTTTGCCCTTCCGGGGTCAAACACCTGACAACCACGGCGATTTCAGGACCTATATACCTGAGCCCAGGACATGAATACAGCGCCACCCAATGTACACACAAAGAAATACAGTTGTATTTGCAACACCATATTTGGCTCTAACAACCATTAACAGCATCAAAACATAAGGCAAAAGAAAATTAGATTTAAAAACAATCAAAACTTACTGGGAGCTGACTTTCA